TTGGTGGACAATGTACTCCTCAAACGGTGGGCGCTGACGCGTACGACATCGGCGGCAGTCCAACGACGCCTACACCCACAAACTGTCTAGCACAGTAATTCAAACTACCAACGGAAAATAAGTAGTAATAATTTATGCGCTAATTACAGAGGTCATTTTGCTCTTGGAAGCAGACTGCCCCTAACATAGACGGCAAAATACGTTAGTTACGATTCTGCAACCTATTCTTGACAGAGCACGCTAGCCTAAAAGTAAACCACAGCCAAGCGTACCTGTTCGTTCTGTTCTTTTAAGAGTTGGTCAAAGATAGGGATGAGCCAGTCCTCAAATGAGACGTAGTTGGTGTTGGGCACTAAGAGATTGCCCGTTCTGTTGATACCCAAGGAGCGCAGAGTTGCGCCCGTCCACTTGGAGAAATCACCAATGTAGAAGGGTGCCATACACTTGACAAAATCTTCCTCAATACCACCAGCAGAGGTGATTAGCACATCCACCTGCGAAGAAAGCAGAGATGGGACATATGATTGTAGTATTAACCAAAATATATAAGCGAATCAATGCAGAAGTGTACGCACGTGGCTACCCTGACCTCGCGAAGCAAACAAGCTTTAAATATGTCAGAGATCATAAGGAGAGCGAACCCGTTCAAGTTATCATAACAGGAGAGCGAAATGACGGAGAATGGGGCTAGGTGGAAAGAGACTAATTCGGGCTTCTTCTACCTTGATTCAGCTGGTAAGGTAGCTGGTATTAACCTTTTGGAATCAGAAGGACAAAATGCCCAATCGACCAGCCTACAGGCGTGCTCTAAAACATCGATCATAAGCACCTCATGGAACTGAAGTCCATTAGTGTTTTTGCCCGTCTGATATTCTGGTATTTATTCGAACAGAATTAGGCGCACACTGATTTATTAGCTTCTCAAACAAAATAGGTCTGGAATTCAAGGTTCAGAAAAATTATCGCATTCATCATTCCGTCCTTAGATTGGACCATGAGCAGGGTGTATCCTACTAAGCAACAAAACAGCAATCAATTGCAATAAGCAGCAAATACTGATCCCTAAAGTCAGAAAAACTAACAAAGTTTTTAAACTATGGTGAGATAAATTGGCAGGAGTTAGCAGGCGACTAGTCTGCGTTAGAGGGGAGTCTGCACTTAACACTTCGACAGACAGACAGACAAGCCAAAATAGTCCACATGCTGACAGGATTAAGAAAACGCACCATTTTATGCTGAACCAGAAATTTGAGAATCTCCCGTACGCCGGAGGTGATCATGTTGGAGGTGTAAGCCAGAAAGATGGTGCAGCCAGTACGACGGCTGTGGCCCAAATTCAACTCCTCCAGTGTCTCGTTAGCCTCCTCACTTCGGTCAGCGGGAAATTGGCATTTCCTGTCAATCTGAAAGACAAACAGCGGATAAATTGGTCGTTTTAGTGAATAGAATGACATAGCGAGAAAAAAAACAAGACTGCACTCGAATCCCTGATTGCAGTAGTCGCTTCACATAAAGAGACAACAGGAAAATGGCTAAGAGGCAACCCAGGAAGCGCTTCCGCAATAAGCAAGGAAGATCTCCCTTACAAAGTCATTCAGGAGCTTCGGAACAAAGAGGGAGTATAAATAACCCACAGCGTGGGATTTGCAGACTTGCACCAATTATGATAACAGCTGCAGTGTCGCGTGTTCAAAAATATTTCACCGTATGGTACGTCACTTCGTAAATCAACAAACTAACCAATATTCAAATACCGGACTAAAGAAATATTCATAGCGCCCTCTGCGCGTCTTCTGTGCTAAGTACTTAACAAAAACTTCTAGATAAAATAAATTTGGAAGAAATTTCCCGAAGTAGTGAGTGTTAGGGCAGTCGTGTCTGTTTATATAGTCGGTCGAGTCAAAATGAAACCTCATTGCCAAAACAAACTGAACTTCCA